TTCGAAAACACCCACGTTTGCGAGTGATTCGGGAATTGTATGTTGCACGGTTCTCACCGTCGCGGAAGGTGTGGAGGTTATCGGTAGTAGTACATCCAGTGAAGCTTTCGATCGTTTCGATTGATTAGATTTACGCGGTGTCGATGAGAGATCCAACCAGGAGTCTGATCGCTTCCTCTTTCTTGGCGTTGCATCCTCCTCATCCTCTTCCTCCTTTTTATCGTGCTGCTGAAAGGGTAACGTTTCGATCCCCACGTCAGCGACGCTGTCCGGCTCCTCTTTCTTCACCGAGATCGAGTTGTCTGCAATCTTTTGCAGCGATCCGATGAGAGGCTTAAAGTGTGTGTCCAACTCAATGTCCTTCACGATCTTACCGGTCTTCAAAGCGCGAAGTTTCTTACGAATCGAATCACTCGTTTTCGTAATCTCTTTCACGATCTTCTCGCGCTCGCCAATATTTTCGCTCCTGTCGATCGTGGCCATCGCGGAAAAAAAGCAGAGTGTTAATCTCACGTTTTAACCTGATAAGGTATTGACAACTGATCGCTTTTGCGATATCGCGAACACATTAAATTCTTTTCTATATCGGCCGTTCAAAAACGCGTTGTCCTTGTCTATTACTACGAATCCGTAGTTGCGTTGCCAACAATCGTAGCACAACGTGCAAAATTCATCGTACGACATATCGGTATTTACGTGATCGTTGTACACGTGTTTCAGATTGGTACCATCCTGTTTGAACAGGATCAGTAGGTTCGCGTTGTCGCGTATCAGATGTTTAGGTATTCTCGCGTACGTCTGACAGAGATAAAAGCAGTCAACTTTCGAGTGCCTGCCCATTGAGAAATACTCTTTCACAGCATCTTGCTTATCGCACGCCACGTCATCAAAGACAAAGATTGAGTTTGGACGCGCATCGCTCGGCGGAATGACGTCACTGTTGTTGAAAAACTTAAAGTAGCCAATCTCTTCTATCGACGTAATACATTTAATACATTCTCCAAGTATCGATATTTCGGTTGCTGCAACGATTTCGAGTACACATATACGTTCTCGAAACCTACACCGTGCGGACTTTTCAGCAAGTTTATCAGAACGTTGGTTTTACCGCAATTCTAGGGGTCGCAAATGATCGCGCGTATAGTAGTCGGTAGGGCAAGCTTCCGATAATTCTGGCGCCTTAATTTGACGATGGTTTCTGGTAGTACTTTTAACGCTAAATAAAAAATGATATAGGTCTTATAGGGCTAACCGCTCTGGTTTTCAAGATACAGAGTGTTAAAGTTAAAAATAAATAATATAAATTTTTAAATAATACTTCAATTGTGTGTGTATAAACAGTACACACGTAGGCGGGAAAGGGGCTACCGCTTCTCGGCAAGATAGTATCTTGCCGATTCTACCGTTGTTGGGGATACTCGGTTCGTTGGTCGGCGGAGCGGCGGAAATCGCGAAGTCCGTGAACGATAACAAAACCGCGCGGCGTCAGCTGGAAGAACTAAAACATTACAATCGCGCCATAGAAGGTCACGGACTTTATCTCGCTCCATACAATACGCGGGCATGGAGTCTCGAGTAAAAAAAAAATGTCAAGGAAACGCTAAAAATTCCGAAAGGTGTAACTACCAACGTACAACTGCAACAACTTGCAAAGCGTATGCGCATTCCATATTTTAGAGGTATTTTCATGCGTATTACTTTACCGATGGAGGGAGTGTGTCGAAAACGAGAGTAATATCGTAAATTAGGATAACGCTGAGGACCGGGGGTACTCACTGGGTGGCATACGCAAAGAGGGGAAGATCGAGCCATATATTTCGACAGTTATGATAATCTTCGACCGCCAAGAGAATTGGTGCTGTATCTAAAGAACAACGTGACGCAAATCGAGTACAATCGCACACCTTATCAACGATACAATCAAAGCAATTGTGGACAACTGTGTCTGCGCTTTCTACAGCCGGTTGACGATCAATTTAAAAACTGGCGTTGCACTGTTTGAACTCAGTATTTATTTAAACTGACATTTACGCTCACCGGCAGAAATAGCATCCTCGCCGTAAGCTACTTTCCCACCGTGGATTTGAGCGATGGCGATTACGAGCTCGGTCTGACAGATTTCGAAACCTATTACACGATACCGAATGTAAATTCTTCGAACAATAAATTCTACTTTGACGACAAGGAGATTACCGTTCTCGAAGGATCGTACGAACTGCGTAATATAGACACGTACTTGAAACAATCAATTTTACAATTGGATCAATCCAATAATATTGCGAGAAAGAAACATATCGGCGAAGATAAAAAGTATCCATTAATTATTCAAGCCAACAACAATACGATGAAGAGCGAAATCAAGTGTGCTTATCGGGTAAATTTTACCAAACCGAACAACATTGAGTCGCTGCTGGGATTTTCAGTGAATTGCGTGCTGGGGCCGCGACAATGGCACGAATCGGACGTATCGATAAATATCATCAACATAAACATTATTTGCTGTGACGTTGCACCGTGTGCCCGTCACCTGTACCTGTGGCGCGTACGTTATCCGAAATTTTTGTATTGCGCGGGTACTGCTCATCGTCTAGTTATGTATGGCGCTGGTGCTGCTTGTCGTCTAGTTATTAGTTTCAGGAGGAAGCGGCCGTATGGCCCCAATTCGGCAGGGTGGCGCGGTGAAGCGCCCCGGCTAGGGGGCCAAGGATCGAAGCCGCGCGGGAGATCTTTACTGTTGGGTTAATCGCGAGCGAGCGTGGACGTCCGGCGAAGAGTCCCTTGGGCCGAGAGTAAGCGAGGGCGGCGGCCCTACGAGCCCTACCGAGGAGGAAAGACGAAGGAAAAGGCATTGTAAACAACCAACAATCCCGAACGCCAGGTAACGGGGAATAGCAGGGCAGAAAGTCGAGTACCGTTTCGCGTATTAAGAGATGTGCGTAGGACCGCTATTGAGAGTATTCACGGCCTACGCACAATTGTCGTGAATCCCTCGGGATTATCGCTTATCGTTATTGTACGGATCAGACATATCCCGCTCGCTGCTACCCCGTAAGTAGAGTAAGAGGGTCCGTTTCTACTCGACTCGACAATCCTGCGTGATTTTGCGTGTAATCATTTCTTGCGTGCGTTATATATCAAGTTGTATTTTGCGTATAATCTTTTGCGCGTATTGTATGTGGCGGACAATTCATTTAAAATATCGCGGATCGACTCAACAGTCACTCGTTAGTATTAGTTTTTGCGTTCTCGCTAGTATTAGTCTTTGCGTTTTCGTTAATATTAGTCTTTGCGTGCTATCTAGACGTATAATGTTAATTCAAGGGCACGCCGGCACTCCGATGCGTTAATTACCGCGCCCGGTACTTAGAGTGTGAGGCGTCGGAATCACGAGTCGGAGAGGCCCGGATCACGCGTTCTCGTCGTGTGTTATAGTTGTTGGCGGAGAATATTGAGAGTTATTATATGTCGCGATTAACGCGTAGAGTTTCGCTTATATTGAGAGTATCACACGCTCCGGTGGGTATCGCACGCGTTTATCACGCGCCCCCGGCGTGCATAGTATATCGAGGATAATCGTTCCTCACACGTCTAGTATTTTGCGTATATTATTTTATTGCGTATATAGTATTTTGCGTACATTCTTTCCTTGCGTGTACAGTCTTTTGCGGATATTTTTTCATTGCGTGTACAGTATTTTGCGTATATTCTTTCCTAGCGTGTATTATTCATTTCGGCGGATAAATATATCGCGGATAATTGTTCCTGGCAGATTTACCTTTTCAGTGGATAATATTTAGCGTGCTTTATTCAAGTGACATTGTGCGGATCCTCGTTAAAGCCTCACGTGATCGGCGTGTGTACGGTAGGCCGCGGCAAACCGGAAGAGCCATTGTACGCAGGATTCACGCGTTCGGTACGTGACTCCCACGGGGTAAATACCATCTAGCGACCCAAGTCTTTCGACATACCCCAAATTGACGGGACGAGACGCGGCAACCGGCCATGAATATTATATCGCCTATGTCATGATTTTATATTATATTCTGATCTTCAATTATATTAAATAAGGATTCTTTTTGTGTTTCGATTTCGCCTAACCTCCGTCAACCTCCTCCATATTCGGCCATTAGCCGAACTACTACTCTCTAACCGGAAAACTGAGCAGCCGTCGCGATCGGCAAAAGCGTATTTGAGAGTTGTGTCGATATTTGAGTCTGTGTGATTTAGAGTTATTTGGAGCTATTTAGAGTCATTTAGAGTTATTTAGAGTAAAAGGTGGTGTGGCGTTTTCCACACCTGGCGCCCAACTTATTTAGTGTTCATATTTCGATTTTTTGAGTGCTCTGCTACCCGATCAGTATATTTGGACGCCCGGTAGTCGCGCCTAACAACCTCGCGACAGTAAAAAGCGTCGCATCACATAGAGTGTAACGTGTCCGCGGGGGCGTACAGCAACAACAAGTACGTGCACACGATACACGAGTTTTCACCGAGTGTACTACCGGGATATAAGATATCGAAAACGCCGGCACAGATCATTTACCTTCCAATCATCGTACAGAGCATTACTGACCTAACGATTCGCGTTGTGGATCAGGACGGTCAATTGATTGATTTTCGCGAAGAAGAGATCTTAGACTGCATGTGCGAAGACGACGACTGTGGTAACATGAGATGCTCGTACTGAACGAAGTGAAGAAGGTGCAACAGACGAGAAACAAAATTAGAGAGTCAGTAAACAATCCGATCGTCAAAGAAGAAACTCACTGCGTCGAACGTTGAATTTTTGAAATCATTGGGTTCTGTCGTACGAAATGGCTAATATCTTAAACATTGGGGGTGAACCGATCTTTGACGATAGCGTCGTCAAGATTAAGACTCATACGTACAATAGCCTGCCTGAGACAACGCTTGTAAATAATTGCGCTGCGTTCATGTTCGATGAGATTCGATACGAGCTCAACGGCGTGGAGATTGATCGCAACCACGGTCTTACATACAAGTCTGGAAACTCAGGCCAATTTCGGTGGTGGGGACTGACTCACTTAATGAAGCAAATCTGTAGTTTCTTTTATAGCCACCAGAGTCGCTGCGATGTAGGAGTCATGTTATCGTTGATTACAGTTCGGGGTTAGGGTCACGTAAAACAGTGAGATAAACCGTGAGAAAATGCCGAAAAAGTGTGCCGTTCCGGGATGTGACACAAACAAAAAATTATGCAAAAAAAAATATAGTGTTTTTAATGTGCCGACCGAAGAAAATCTGCGTGAAAAATGGGCAGCTGCAATTCCGGGCATTCAATATTTAAAGTCACATCAGTATATACATATGCGAGAGACACTTTAGTGATGAATGGGTAGTGCGGAAGTGGGTGAAACATGATTCTGATGGAGAAATAATAGTTGAAGTAAGTATCATGTTAAAATAATATTGTTTAATAACACATTTTACGCTTTCAATTTAAGAAGATTGATTGACGGCAAAGCAATGTAAAAATACTATGCAAAGATCACCAAAAATGAATAAGTTTTGTTATTTAAATAATTTTTTTTGCAGCTCACAGTTTATGAGTAAATAGTATTTTACTTTTAACTCGTAAGATTGTTCCAATGGAAAAAATTAGTTCGGTTATGCTAGGTTTATATGAAGAAAGTGACTCTTTATATAAAAAGGTTCCTTCTGGTCTAAAGTGTTAATTCTACATTGAACCTTTACGCAGAAAATATTCTTATTTTTACACTAAATTTTTCTTTATGCAGAGACAATGTCTTTATAGCTTGTGGACAATTTATTACTATGGAGGTTTTCCAATTTTTAATGTTAACTAAAAAGATATTTACTTCTTAGGTGCCATATAAACGTATTCGCTTGATGCATGGTGCTATGCCCACAATATTTGACTCTCAATCAGCAAAAGACAGTTCATTAATAAAGAGTAAGTCGCCAAATTTATAATAATGTAACTTTATTGGTTTTATTATAATAAAAACATTTGCATTGTAGTTGATGAATCAAACAATGTTCATGACACAGTGTCTATTGATGCAAGCATTGACGTAATACACGAAGATCAAGATGCTGGTGGGCAAAATGAGCTTGTCTCATTAACAGTTAACACTGAACATCTGCAAGACAACGCTGCTATTGTTATGAATATCAACGGTGTAACTAGTTTACCTGATCAAGGTATTCCTAGCCAAAACGAGGATATTTCGAAAGCTGTTTATACTGACCGGATTGGTAATGGTATATACGCAATACAATGCTTTAATGAATTATTTATTGAAAGAAATAATGAACAAGCACTTGTTGTTAATTATCCACACAACTCAAAATTATATTTCAGAAGAGCCAACCGATATTTTGATTGGAAAAGAATTCGAGGATACTAATATATCATCAGCTGCCAATAGAACTCCAGAAATAGAGCCAAGCGATACTAGTATCGTTTTCCTGCAATTCAGAGTTACACATGGATCCCAGATTACATTTTGGTCAGATCCTGCTTCACCAGAAGATGTAATGCTCTCGAGTTCATGGACCGCAACTACAGCGTTTAACAGTAAAACACAAAAATTAATAATTTCGCAAATATCAATAAACACTGACTCTAGTTCTACTCCGGTCTTGAGTAAAAGCATCACAATCGACAGCGATAGAATGATAACATACTATGTGCATGGAAAAGTGGTAAAAGAGAACCATCAAGATCTTCCACGAATTTTAAGCACTCCACAAAGGTTGCAGTCAATTATCATGAATTTTCAATCACTACGAGTCTGCGATAGATTAGGTTTAATTAATGTGGATTTAAAAGAAACAAATGCCGCAGTAAAAGATAATTTGAACGTTTGGCGCAGTAACAAATGTTTATTAATTGGACAAAGGAAAAAATGTAACATGTGTGCAAAATTGCGAAAACTTCTAAAGCAAAAGGCTTTACGACACGTGAAGCGTGTAACGGTTAAACGCGTACGCGTTTTATCGAATTCCATGGATCAGAAAAAGCTCAGCATTCTGCGGAAAAAGATTAATGTTGAACGACGTCTGAGGAATCGTCAAAAGTTTAGAATAAAATTACTTACAGATAGTTTGACACAAAAGCAAGATGAATTTGTAGCTTTAAAAGATCAATTGTTGGAGGGACGGTGTAACATGTTTAATGTTCCAGAAACGCAAAAAAAGTTATTACAAGAAATAATAGCTGCCGCAAAGACGAAAAATCCAAACGGTCGAAGATACACAAAGGAGTGGCTCATGTTGTGTATATTAATGAACGTTCGTTCTCCTGACTATTACGATTTTTTAAGAAGGAACAACATTGTACCTCTTCCCTATACGAGAACAATACGCGGTTATTTGTCCTTGATTGATTCTAAGTGCGGCTTTGACGAGAAATTTTTTCAGTTATTGAAAAAAAAAATGCAATGTAAAAAGCCTATTCAACGCCATGGATTGCTAGTGCTTGACGAGATAAATTTAAGAAGATCCGTTACAGTTTCCTCGAAAAACCTATGCTACAGTGGATTAACGGATTTTGGCGACGATGGACCGAAAGCGTCCGTCATAGACGACCAGGCAACACACGGGCTAGTCTTCTTATTTCAACCTCTCGCCGATACATTTACGCAACCAATAGCTGTTTTTGCATCAAAAGGTCCAGTTAAAGGTGAGGAGTTAGCGAAATTGGCGCTGAAGGCAATAGCTCTTCTAGAAACATCCGGAGTTTTTATCCATGGAATTATATCAGATGGCGCCCACACAAATGCAAAAATGGGTTCAATTCTCGGAATCGAAAGAAGTATTCACAATACAAAAACTTGGTTTACACACCCGTTGAATAGTGAAAGACAGGTTTTTGTTTTCTCCGACGTTCCACATCTCATAAAAAATATTCGTAATCGTCTTTATAATAAGCGACGGCTGCGGGTACGTATGCTAAATGTATTAAAAAGATGGAAATATATAGGATCAGTAATCAACACTTTTTTTTGTTATAGTTGAGTGCAAATAGAGATTGGGTCGAATGGAAATATTTTGAAAAGTTGTTTGAAGTGGATACGATGCATCCCGGGAATGCGAGGGCTTGCCCAAAAATATCTCAAAACCATATTAAATTAGACAGTGTTAGTAAAATGCGCGTACGACTTGCAACTCAGGTAGATCTTTAATTTCTCGTTACATATTTGTGAATAATGCTTACGAGGAGAGACTACTGTTATTCGGTATTATTACAGATATTCAGTAATTCAGTTGCTAATGGACTAAGATTTTATTCCAGTCACAGGTATGATGAGTTCACCGGCTGCGAAGAAACCATAAATTCTGTAAACAAATCAATGATATGTTTGATGCATTGAATCGAAAGATGCCAAATCAAGGCCTAACCCTAAAGACGAAAGATTTCGAGATAAAATAGTGAACAAACTTTTTGAAAGGTTACTTTTAAACTGTACGCTTAGTAGATAAAATGGTTCATGATATTTTAGATTTTACAATCATCTCTGCAATGGCTAGATGACTGGGAAAATGCTAAAATTAGAGGCGATATTTCAAGGTGATGAATTTTTAACAACGGACACAGCTAACGGATTAAGATTATCTCTAATATCTACAATGGACCTTTGCAAATATCTCATTACTAATTTCAAGTTTGAATATTTGCTCACTGGAAAAGTCAATCAAGATAATTTAGAGGCAATCGTCTCATCATCATAATATTATGCTTTAATCGGCCTCATTTTAACTCCTTAATAGGAATTATTGAACTACTCTACAGAAATTCTTTGGTACAATACGACAGGCTGCAGGTTCTAACGATCACCCCAGTTGTTCAACATTTTTGCAATTATACAAACTACTATCGATGTACAGTATAATTAGGCCGCCGATTTATAGCAATTGTACAATCACAAACAATAAGCCAACTGATATTTTATTTTCAATTGACGATTTGCTAAAAATTTATGGTCGAAAAGATACGAAGAGTTCACAAGTCATAAATAAATTACGACATCAATTGGATAAACTGATAGAGCATGAAGAGTGGGAAATGGACAAACTTGAAGATAACGATTATGCATTACCGCATGTATTAGACTGCATTGTGTATTATGTCACAGGTTTTTACTTTTATAACTGTATTCCTGCTGTACGCTTTGCCCTTTATATCTTACGCTTTACATGTTTTTTTTTTTTTTTATAAGTAGACTTAGGAACATCAACATTCTTCTGCTTTCCCTTACAGAAATATAATACTATAAGTGATTATTTGGCAAGTGATTAATTACTTATTTTGAGTATTAAAAGCACTGTTTTTAATGCTTTTAATACTCAAAATAAGTAATTAATCACTAGCCAAATAATCACTTACAGTATTATATTTTTGTAAAGGTTCATAAATTTAAACGCCGTAATCATGCTTCAGTCATTACATAACTGTTTCAGGGTACTTATGTAAGCAAGTCCTTCGACGTTATGACTGTATAGTTTGTGCACGATCTTTGACCACGAATGGAAACGAAGCTTTACCATCAATGTTAGTGGATGTAAAATCCCGAGGAGGATTGGTGCATCCTAATATTTGTTTTTATAATTTAATAAGATATGTTGAATCATGTTTTGCTAAGCATGCCTCTAATATTAATGTTTTTGAATTAATTATAGAGGAAGTGCTAGAAAATTATAATTTTACATTTCCATGTAAAGAGCACGCTTCAAATATTTTATCATATTCGATTCACTATTATATTCGGCTTAGAATGCAACAATACACGTATCAACATAATCAAAAGAAAAGAAAAGATTTTGTGAAACGAAATAAATTGTCTAAATTGACAAATGAATAAAAACTGGTCCACATTATACAAAGTACTGTCTTTTCATTTTTTCTCCCCCAAAACTGACTAAAACCAATAAGAATTAATTTCACATAAAACCTTCAACAACTTGATTTACCATTAATTTATTCCTTAGAAGTTTTTATCATTATCTCGGCTAGATTTAAATTACATTTTGTATAAGAACAAATTTAATACCATATGTACCCGTAATTGAGTGTTATAACTGTTGACGTCCAATTTGGGATCAATAAATATAAATTTTTTATTTACAATGCTGGTTATTTACAGTGCTTTATAATTTCTTTTTCTTAAAAAAATAATAAACAGGAACTCAAGCTCTAATACTTTAAAACTTAGTATGAATCGATTAGACTCGGTTTAAACTCAGTACAGTTTAAATAAAAACGGTATGCAGGTATGTCTCGGGTCCAAGATATTTGCATTAGCTTAATTTTACATTTGCTAGACAGAGATCGAAAGTGTTTGTATGTATATATGTATATATTCTATCGCACTCAATCGTACTATGACTCCTACATCGCAGCGACTTCGGTGGTCGAATTTATAACTACAGATTTGCTTCACTAAGCGAGTCATCCCCCACCATGGGAGTTTCCAGACCTGTATGTAAGACCGTGATCGCAACAGAAACGTTGGAATAACCAATACCATCAAGAACTACGTATCGCTATCGTATGGCGATTCTCAGGTCATGCGGAATGCTGGATGGGACGTTACATCAAACATACCGGAAGGATACTTCAACTTTTGCGTACCGCTCAAGACGTAGCTGGGCTTTTGCGAGGATTACAAACGCGTCGTTGTTAACGCTCGTCACAAATTAGTTTTGATACGTGCGCGTAGCGACAACAATTGCATTGTAGGAAACCCGGCGACAGAGCCGGAAATCGAATTGTTTAAAGTACAATGCCTCACGTTACGTTAAACAAAGTCAATAAACTGTCCTCGTTACGGGCCTTGGGAAGCGGGCGATATCTTAGTGTCAGTTTTTGTTCGTGGGATCTGTATGAGTACCCCCTCTTGCAGAGCACGACCAAGCATTCGTGGGCTGTCAAGACTGCGACTCAGGTAGAGAAGCCGCGATACGTTATTTTTGCACTGCAAACCGGTCGCAAGAATATTACGTCTCAAAATGTTAGCGTATTCGATGACTGTAATTTGACCAATGTCAAGCTTTATCTAAACTTCGAATTTTATCCGTACGATGACTTAAACCTAGATTTTAGTAAAAATCGATATGGCCTCCTGCTCGGGGGGGGTGTGAATCGCCCCGGATTCGCGAATGTTCTAAGTTTGTGTTAACTCGAAGGACCAGAGGGACGTTCCCTCACGAATGCAAACGGATAAAGCGAACGATTATGCGACTCACCGTATCGGTGCCCGGCTCTTTCCTGGCTGTTGATTTCGTCCTTCCTTCTGGCTATGAGTGATAGCGGGAGGGCCGTGCAGGCAAGGCAAAGGTGTTAGCGTGCGAATCACGTGCTCAAGCAGGCAGGCAGAGATTGTTAAGATAAGCAGGCAGTATAATGCAGAACTCTGCGGCGGTTTCCGACTGAGATCTGAAATAACACGCGGGCCCGATTTTAGCTCGATCGTGCAAACTTGATGCGTGGTACAGGGATAACTTCCGACTGATCACGTCCGCACGATGTTGACTCGACAATGTCCAAGGTGTGAGTGTCTCTTCCGGCACTCTCTGGCTTGCGCACCTGTGAAGCACGGCGCGAGCGAGTACCAATTTCTTCATAATTAGGAGTGCCACCCGCGGGCGGGCAGCACGAGTCGGGCGAGTGTAGGGAGCAGCATACCTGTCTCCCTTCCGATTGGCCAGCCCCCTCTCCTGCGCTAGCAAGAGAGTGGAGAGTTACGAGGTTGGCAGAACTGAGCCTCGACGACCGTTAGAATTATACTGACTCTCGTGGCTGTAGCGTGGTCTGCAATAAAGCGTTATATTATCAGCAGTAATCGAGTGTGTAATTATTCCTCGATACCTCTTGTCAAGACGTCGGTAGTAGGCCGACACCCGGAGGCGTAATCGACCTCCTGCGGTACCAAATACCTACATTGGTGACCCCGACTGAAAAAACACGCAACGGTTCTTGCACAAATTGCTACCGGAAGCCCGAGTCAGAGTTAAATCCTCGTGTGGACCAGACTTCCCCGAGGAACGGACGCAGAAGTAAGCGGATTGAACTTCCCGCAGCTGCAAGGTACATTTCCGTGCCGCGTCCCTGGCTGTTATCTGTCCACGCTGCGGCCAGCCAGCCTTGCCGCGCCGAAACATTATTCGGGCGGCCATCTTTTTTTGCCGCGCTTTCTTCACGAGGCCACGAGTCGGGCACGTGAGACTCTACCGGCGCCCGGGTGGCCACAGCGGTTCTACCGTCTTGTACCACGACCATCTCCTGGTGTGCGACCGGCCCTTCTCCGCCCCCGCCGTTACCGCCTTCTTCTGGGGTGCGACCGGCCTTCTTTGGCCGATGCCACGGATCAACAACGTCGTTATCGCCTCATCGCTGGATTGCGTGAAGCCAACGACACCGGCGCCTTGGATTCCCTCGCTGTTGAGACATTTAATGCGTGAAGCCAACGTCTCCGGCGCCTTGGGTTCTATCGTCACCGGGGCTTTGGATTCTATCCACCATTTACCCGGTTATAATAATGTAAAGTAAGCTAATTATCCGCCGCACACCGTCATTTATATTGTATAACGCTCGTGTCGTTTAACTCTCTTGTGCCGCTAATATCCTACAGCAAATTTTAAACAATGTCGAACGCAGCTCTTTCAGCCGCCGAATCTCGCGCGGAAGAAGCGGAAAATCGGCTCGCGCAATATCAAGCCCAGCTCGCGCAATCTCAAGCCCAACTCGCACAATTACAAGACCAGTTTGCGCAAATGCGTACCCAGTCGAGTGATCAGGGCCTTGATACAGTTAATTTAAACGCGATTGATAATAACATTCAAATTCCGCATATAGATCATTACAGGGTTCCCAAGCTCCCCCCGTTTTCTCAAGTCGACCCAGCATTGTGGTTTATGCAGGCCGAGGTGTCCATGAGAAATTCCAGGATTACTGCAGAGTCTACTAAAGCAGATACCGTCCTCGCTGCACTGGATGTCGAAGTATTTGATTGCGTTAGAGACATCATTGCTTTGGACCCTTCCCCAGCGGATATTTATAAGCAGGTGAAGGCTCGGATTATCTCAACGTACGCGCTTTCAGACGAAACCAAATTACGAAAACTTTTAAGCGGACAAGTCGGGACCGACGGAAAACCTTCGTTAATCCTCAGTCGATTGCGCGGGCTTAATAACGGGAGGGTTGATGATAGCATAATAAAATCAATTTTCCTGGATCAATTACCACGCGAAACCAGCTCGATCCTGATATCTACGGGAATTACCGATCTTTATAAACTCGCCGAGATCGCCGACCGTATGGCTGAGAACACTCTCGGAGGCGTGGCTTACGCGTCCGCCGTGAACAAGGGGAATTCATCCCCTCCCGCAAAGACCGAGATTCAACAACTCATCGAAAGAATCGAAAAAATCGAAAAGCTAGAAAAGTCACGAAATTCGCGTTCGCGATCCAACTCCCGCAGGCGTAGGACCTCAACCTCGCCAAACAGGGCGATCACACCCGCGCTCTGTCCGGCTCATACTAAATACCCGGATAATCCGACTTCGTGTCGAACGTGGTGCTCAAAATATGAGACGTGGAACAGTACAAAAAACTAAGCCCGCCCTCCCGTTCGGAGATGGTCGGCAAGGGCCCTCAAATTTCTAATCGTCTCCACGTCCGCGATCGTGCCAGTGGCCAAATATTCCTTATCGATACAGGCGCGGATATCTCTCTTGTACCCGCTAACGATAGGATCAAGGGAAAGCCCTCTGAATTAAAGCTCTTTGCAGCAAATGATACGCGTATCGACACGTTCGGGGAATCTCTTCGTGAGCTTGATCTCGGTTTAAGACGGCCAATTCGATGGAATTTTTGCATTGCCGCAGTTCCGTACCCCATCATTGGCGCTGACTTATTATCGCACTACGGGTTAATAGTAGATTTAAAACGACGACGTCTTATAGACTCCACTACTAAATTATGTATCCTCGCGATTAAAAAACCGGCCCCGATACATTCGATTAATACGATTAAACCTTCTTCTGAGTTTTCTCAAATACTCAAGGAATTTCCACAAATAACAGGAGCCCTTCCCCTCGCCCCGCCGTCCAATTGTGACGTGTTTCATCATATTATCACCACCGGCCCTCCAGTCGCTTCGCGCGCTAGGCGCCTTCCTCCTGATAAACTTAAGGCCGCAAAGGCCGAGATTAGAGCTTTAGTCGAAGCAGGCATTTGCCGCCCTTCTAGCAGTCCATGGGCCAGTCCCATTCATTTAGTCCGTAAAAAAGACGGCACCTGGCGGGTGTGCGGCGATTACCGCGGTGTAAATGCAATCACGCGACCTGATAGATACCCCACCCCCCACCTGCATGACTGCTCCGTTAATCTACACGGTAAAACAATCTTTTCATCCCTCGACTTATATAAAGCCTATAATCAAATTCCAATGGCCCCCGAGGACATTGAGAAAACAGCTATCATAACCCCTTTCGGGTTATTCGAATATTTATTTATGACCTTTGGCCTTCGTAATGCCGGTCAATCCTTTCAACGTTATATAAATCGCGCCTTAGGCGATCTAGATTTTGTTTTTATTTATATGGATGATATCCTGATTGCTTCCTCTTCTCCAGAGGAGCATGCTAAACATTTACGCATTGTATTCCAAAGGCTTAAAGAGTTTCACCTCCGCCTTAATGTTGAAAAATGCGTGTTCGGCGCACATGAACTAAAGTTTCTCGGGTATATAATTAATGGTAAAGGAATCAGCCCCATCCCAGAGAAAGTTGAGGCGATTACCAAATTTCCTAGACCCAAAACCATCGCCGACCTACGCCGTTTCCTCGGCATGATAAATTTTTACCGTCGCAATATTCCTCGCGCGGCAGAAGCTCAAGCACCACTAAATGCATTACTAGTCGACTCGCGCAAAAACGATAAGCGTGTAATCGTATGGTCTGACGAATTAATCGAAGCGTTTGAAAAGACCAAAAACGGCCTTGCTAACGCTGCAATGCTGGTGCATCCCCATATTGGCGCGGAACTCCGTATAGTCGCGGATGCCTCTGATTTCGCCATGGGGGCAGTTCTTGAACAGAAAAAACGGGATACTTGGGAGCCCCTAGCATTTTTTTCGCATAAGTTCTCCCCTGCGCAAACTCGGTATAGCGCTTACGACCGAGAACTCACGGCAATTTTTGAAGCCGTTAATTACTTCCGTCATTTTGTAGAAGGACGCGAGTTTAAAATTTTGACCGACCATAAACCGCTCATGTATGCGTTTATGCAACGGTCTGATAAGGCGTCCCCGCGACAACTACGCCAATTGTCATATATCGCGCAGTTCACAACTCATATTGAACATGTCGCTGGTTCACAAAATGTTGTTGCGGATTTGCTTTCGCGGATCGATTCCCTGCGTTTGCCGGTTGAATTTAATCTTAATGAGCTCGCCGAGCTACAAAAGAACGACGAGCAACTTAAGTTGATTGCTAATGCCCCCGATCATCCTTTAAAGTTGAAGAAAATTCAGTGGGGCCCAGATCACACAACTGTATATTGCGAAATCTCGGGCGAAGCTATTCGGCCATATGTCCCCGATAGTCTCCGCGTTAAAGTATTTCAAATGTTCCATAACCCAGCCCACCCGAGTGGCAAAATTACCGATCGCACTATCCGACAGCGTTATGTCTGGCCTGACATGCACCGCGATATCGCTAAATGGTGTAAAAATTGTATCGAATGTCAGCAAGCGAAAATCTCTCGTCATGTAAAACTAACTCCTGAGCACTTTGTTGCTCCCGACGGGCGATTTGATCAAGTGAATATTGACATTATCGGCCCATTACCTCCTTCTGAGGGTTACTCTTATTGTTTCACTATGATCGACAGATTTTCGCGTTGGGCCGAGGCAATTCCTCTTAAAGATATTTCCGCACAAACCGTTGCTAGAGCATTTTACGACGCGTGGATCTCCCGTTACGGAACCCCTCGATTATTAACTACGGATCAGGGAGCCCAATTCGAATCTCGCCTATTCGAGGCGTTACTTTCATTAATCGGTTGCGAACGAATTCGTACAACCGCCTACCACCCGGCGTCGAACGGCATGATTGAACGTTGGCATCGGGTGCTTAAAGCCGCAATCATGTGCCATGCCGATGCGTGCTGGACGCGTACCTTATCTACCGTTCTATTAGGACTTCGGTCGCACGTCCGTGCTGACACAAATGCGTCTCCCGCCGAATTTATGTTCGGGACGACTTTACGACTTCCCGGGGAATTCTTTCTTCCCGATGATTTTACACCTAACCCTAATTATTTCCTTGAAGAGTTTCGCGAATATATGCGCCAAGTCCGGCCGGTTCCCGTCGCGCACAAACATAAAAAACGCGCCTTTTATTTTAAAGATTTATATAATTGTACCCATGTATTTTTACGCAATATGGCTAAAAGGGCGTTAGAGCGCCCGTACACCGGTCCGCACAAGGTAGTGCAACGCATCTCGGAGCGCGTATTCAATATTGATATCAACGGAAACACAAAAAGCGTGTCCGTCGATTTGTTAAAACCGGCATATTTTGTCCCTGATGACCCCGCCGACCCCCCATCAACCTCCGAGAACATACTCAACCGGAATGTAAATCCGAACCCAGCGCTTAAAACCTACTCTCGTAAGACTGTTACATTTGCGCCGTCCACTAAACCAAAGTGATTTAATTGTAAGTCAGAATTCTATATAATGTTAGATATAAGTTGGCTCAAAATACGTTTAAGCGTATAATATATTTTTGTTAAGGCATTGTTAACCTCGTACAATAGCACTTGGCCAAACACTTAAGCTCATTCGCTTAGTGCAATATTACTTATTATTTATTTCGTTAACACTCGGGGGGGAGTGTGTAGGGAGCAGCATACCTGTCTCCCTTCCGATTGGCCAGCCCCCTCTCCTGCGCTAGCAAGAGAGTGGAGAGTTACGAGGTTGGCAGAACTGAGCCTCGACGACCGTTAGAATTATACTGACTCTCGTGGCTGTAGCGTGGTCTGCAATAAAGCGTTATATTATCAGCAGTAATCGAGTGTGTAATTATTCCTCGATACCTCTTGTCAAGACGTCGGTAGTAGGCCGACACCCGGAGGCGTAATCGACCTCCTGCGGTACCAAATACCTACACGAGTCGCGCGAATATTGACAACTCTAATCGAACGCCATCCGCCAACGTTCCGCGCGAGTCACCAAATACGAAATTGAAATTACCGATGGTAACGCTTCAAACTGCTTATCAACTAATATTTAACGCAAACAACAAACGATTAACTTAGCAACTAATATATACAAGTGAGCTCCAAACACCTCCTTTTTGATACGTATGCGCGTTTTCGTAAAACTTATTACGGATACGATTACAGTGATACGCTTTGCAGCGTGTATACAATCTTGACGCAAGGACCTTTTGTTGTCATCGATTGCTCGCGTCAAAACAAGTCTGTCAAGAGCGCCACCGTGGATGTGTGAATAGAATTTGACTATAAAAAAAATGTACCTGCAAATACTACCGCTTATTGTCTCATCTTGCATGATCGCGTAATCGAATACTGCCCGTTGTCTAATGTAGTGCGCAAACTCATGTAAATCGCAATGTCAACAAATATTCCGATATAAGAGAGACAGATTTACCGCAATAAGGTAAAGTACAGATTGTTCCTTCGTTGCATCATGATCGTGCCAACGTTTGTCGATCTACGCAAGGATTCATCGTTGGGATGAGATTTGTCGTAAAGAAGGTAGCGGTGTTGAGAAACGGCACCATTCTGGCGCATTACATCTTTACATGCCCCATGTCGTGGAATCTTCTCATAAAATCCGACAAGTCATGTGCTTCCTGGCTGATTTCAAATCACGATAAATTACCATGGGATGACGGTAACGTGCCATAAAACATGGTAAAACGCCTAATTACATCAGCCGTGCTTGGTACTGAAGTGGATGACGAGACGCCGACTCTCGTGTACGTCAAAGTCAAGGGATGTCAGAAACAAAAACGGTTAGTGGATCTGCTTGAGAATTATGCGAGAGAAAACCTGATCATCGAGACTTTGGATGCGGATTACGAAGATATCGAATCTTTAAATAATCTAGATGTTACTAACACTATGCGATGCGGAAAACATGTTGTTCGATATAGTGGAGTCGCAAAAGGATCAGGCAGGTGGTATCGAGTCATCAATACAGATTTCATTAATAAACAATGTATTCTTCAATTTCTATATGTACATGTTGTGTTTGGATAGTCTTAGGCGGCGCCTTGAGGGCGCCTACTCAAAAAATCTAAGTGCTAAATGCACTGTTCAAAAGTTAAGCCTGATAACTGCTTTCTTTAGGGAAGGTTCCGCATTGTTGTTGAGGTCAATCTTCGACCCCGGGATGAGAGGCGGCTTGTCAGTCGGCTGTTCCGGAAGTTCCAGTGGCGACCAAGGGGCCAGGAGGGCTTGTGTGCCCACAGTCTGTGTAGCTGACGTCCAAGTTCGTTTTATTCGCAGCAGATGAAGTGCCGGAGACCTCGATATGCGGGAATCTCTCTTTGCGAGCCGCAGCCCGGCAGGCTTGGTGAGA